CGTAACTACACCTGACACATGACATTGTGTTCCTGCAGAATATTTGCTAAATACAGTCTTCTGGACAAATCTGACAATAATCACATAGTGTGCAGAGGATTCAGTTCTCATGGCAAACCCCATTTCACATAAAGCATCATGCATTTAACTTCTCAGTATATCTTTATCCAAGAAGTCATTAAATGGGGATTCATGACTCGTTTTTTAATTCATGTCCAGTTTTTAAAACAGCAGAGTATAGTGTATACTCTAAAAGAACTAATTTCAGGATGGTATTCTAAATAGTGTTTGACAAAGGCAGTGATTAGATTAAACAGGAACTGGTACTCTGTCACCTTCAAAAATCTTCTGTAGCCAGGCTGCTCTACCTGTTTCTTTCTCTTTCTGGCCTTTGAGGTGAGAAAAGCAGAAGGGAAGCAGTGCTTTTCTGCCAAAAGTCAAAACCAAAGGAAGATTTTCAAAGGTGCATTAATTATTTCTTTAGAGACAGTATCAGTAAAAGATCTTTTCTCTGTCTCCTTTAGCTCTCTATACAGAGAAGGGAACGACAATTTCTGAGAACACTATAGAAAAAGAAAAAGGAGTTTTGGTCATTGCATTGCAAGCACAGGGGGATACAGGGTTGGAAACTGAAATCCTCTCCTACGGAAAGTTTAGCCTGTAAATCAAACCTGTGCTATGCAGACTGGGACAACAGAAGATAAAAGCAAATAACCTGTTTAAACCACTCAACCCTATATTCATGAAATGCCTGACAAGCTCACTCTACTAAAGTGATTTACAAATGGCACATGGTTGTGATAAGGACAGCAATCTTGTTGACAGATTTTCACACATATGCATAAATATGTGTGTGTACAAACACAAAAAATCTGGCTAAAATCCAGGCTGCAAAAAGCTTTGTCTGTCCCTGAGCCATTTTGTTCTTTGCTGTGCAACATTGTAGATAAGTAGAGGGCTTTATTACAAAACTCTTGTGTTATGAAAATATCTCTTGGAATTTGAAGTCACAAGATAGCACTGATTGAAGCATTTTAGCAATATCTTCTCCTCCGTTGCAAAGTTATCTAATTTTCTCAAAAATTCCCAGAAGTAGTCTGCTTATTTTAAACCAATCTTTCCTGTGCATTAAAATAATAATAATAAAAATATAATTTTGCAGCTAAACATTTCAATTTGTATGCTAAACACAGAGCACAGTGAACTACACACTGACAGAACATATTAAACTCTCATAACGAATCTGAAAGGTGAGCCCTCAAGCACTCTGTGAATAGGAAAGTCTCTGTGAGGTAAACATTCATCTGAGTCAAGGCTGAAGAGTGATGGTTTTATTGCAAGGACTGCTGCTGTGGAGCAGTGACAGACAGGGTCAAGGGAGTACAATACAGGTACATCATGAGCAGAGAAGGAAGCAAGGACCAGCTCGAGAAATAAATGGTAGAAAAGCAGAGGCAGAGCAGCTGTAGTCCCAGACTGGCAGGGAGAAGTGTGATGTGCATACACAAGAAGCAAACAAAATTTCACACCACCACAAATCTACTATGGATTATGGACTTAAAAATATGGTTCAGAAAATTCACCCCAAGGAGACTGGCACCTCCTTCTCCTCTCCTCAAAGATATTGTGAATTGTGGAGATGCTTGTGATTATACTGAGGAGGAGAAGGTACATCTTTGTCTCCTACCAACCTGGCAGATCCCAGGATCTTCTTTCAGATTTGGGGTGCAGCACAGCATGAAACTTGCACGTGATGGAAATGCAGGTGCAAAGCAGTGAGCAGAGAAGACAGGTGAGCTGTGTTAATTTACCATCACTTGGAGTGCTGTGAGTGGAAAGGCTCAGGAAGGGCAGTCTCACCCAAGGAAAGGAGAAGGAACTACAAAAGAAATTTACATGGGTGGGTGTGTTTATCAAAGGAAGGAACTTGGAGAAAACTACTAAGGGTCCTGAAAAATATTCACAGATCCAAAGCTTCCACTGAGCCCTTTCCAAGTTTGTGTGGTCCTTCTGCATGTAAAGTGCATGATTCAGTTGTCTTTTTTCCTGTTGTTAGCTGGTTTCAATGAAGTCTATATAAAAGATCAGCAGTTCTCAGTACACTGTGAGAGTACACATAAATCAGGAGGAATGGTTATCCAGAGGCCGTGGCACACGGCACATTAAATCATCCTGTAAATGAGTCCAGCACAACTCACCGTTAGCACACCACCAGGAATCCAAGGTTGAATGCAGCCACGTACTTCATTATTGTTGTTTTTTGTAAGATCCTGACTTCATGGACCATCATAAACTCTGACTGCCATTTTGTGACTACCACCTGGGCCAGTAGCGTTTGCTAGGGGAAGTGATGCAAACAGGGAAAATGAGGAAGTGCTGGCTGAGCTGGCACTGAGACAATACAGCTTAAATAAAGAGGCTCAGGAGACTCTGTTTCATGGAGCAGGTGGGTGTCCAGACCACTGATGGATACTGAAGTCTGGAAAGGGAATGCATAGCTGCCAGGAATGACTGTGTGGACTTCTGGGCTGTTGTTCCTCATTGCAGACTTTCACCTATGATTTCTACTTTGTGGCTTATGAGGTTTAGATGGCTTTCACTAGTACAGAGGTATTATTGCTTGTGCAAGGTCTTTGCAAAAAAAAAAAAAAAAAAAAAAAAAAAAAGTGAAAATGGATGCTGCCAGTCAAAAGTCCTTTTTGCATATTAAAAATAATAATAATAATTAAAAAAAAAAAAAAAAAGAAAGAAAAACAAGAATAAAAACAAATTCCTGGGAAAGGAAGTGCAAGTGCTTTGATGAGTGTGTCCATACTTTCTCCCTTTTGGTAATCTAAAACAAACTCTCAAAGTAAAACTGGCAGCTGAATTCTGTCAGCAGGAAAAGTGTTTTTTTTTTCCCCATAAAGATGTAGTGTTGAGAAAACACTGAGCCTGTCAATTGTACACTCCCCACCCCCCAACTACCCTCTTTCCTCCCACCCCCCAGACATTAAGAGGAGTGTGAGTGTCACAGTGTTGTTTCTGCTTCCAGCATATTTCCAGCTTCCCAACATACAGCTGACATTCATTCCCACCCATTAAGTAAAATTTGTTCTCTCTGCTGCTGTTTTGTGCTTTTTAATGTTTGCGTGCAGGGCTGGGACCAGCTGTCCATGTCTGAAGAGCCATTAATATTTATGAACAAGGCACTGCAAGCAACAGTGAGCAAGGCGCATGGAAAGCCTGGCAATATGCAATACAGAAAATACTGTTTGATCCCTCTACTGTTTGTATCCTGGTTTGTTACTCAGCATACCACCTGTAAAAACTGGTTATGAACTCATTAAGCCGGAGGAATATGATCCTGTCAGCAGTATATTTTCATCCTACTGAATGTATGTGCTGTCCTGTTTTCCATATTAGCTCTGTTCTGCTCACTGTGGTCGTAGCTAGCTCTTGCAGAACTTGGGAGATGCTTGCTATTAGTGGTAATTCCTGCTTTCTATTCTTAACTGTAAGAGTGCTTTATGTCCATATGTCCTGTCTTTGCCAACCTTTGATTCACTGTGATATATCTCTGCTTGATACGTGTGTGAGGTGACCCATCACCTGCACGAATGACTAGCTCAGCTCTGTTATTGCTGTCCATGCCTTTGCAAAGGCTGTCTTGCCTCTTGCTGGAATTCCAGAGAAGCTAGGCTGCATTATCATATCATCTTCTGAAGACTTTACCATCATCTTCCATGTAGCTGGTGCACTATGCAAATGCCTGAAGTTGCTGTAGATCCAGATCAGGACAAAGCAATACAGGATGCTTCTTGATCTCTATTTGATGCTCAGCAATGCATGGGCAAAGCTCCTGGGATTGAATATAGAGCCAAAACCCAGGGAAAGCTGGGTTTTTATTTCCCTGTATGAGGCTCCACATGCCTCCCATGCCTCACTTCTTCTCTTTTTACATGTGGTTTCTTTGAAATAGCAAATGAAGTTTTGCTGGCTTTTCTCCTCACAGCTTACTGCAAAATTTTAGCCAAATTATACCTCTCAAACATGACATGGTTTGGCTCAAGTTTTAATAGAACAAGCATCAATCTATTACAATATCATTTACTGTTTCTGTCCAGAGATTCAGGCTCTTCCTACCCAATGGTAGTTAAAATTCTTCATATTTACAAAAATAAATAAATAAATAAATTCTGTCATTTTTTAACACCATCTGCATAAAATACTCCATGAAATGTGATTAGGACCTAATAAGAGGTAGCACACAGATGTTAATGCATATGATCCAGGGTTATCAGTTGGTATGTTGCTGCTGACAAGCCATCCTTGTGTTCCTGTGGGTACTTCTGCTTGAGTATGCTAAGGGATATCACAGCAGAGATATTTCCCTGAGAAAACATCTACAGTAAAAATGTGTCTTTATTTGTTAAATAGAAAGAAAAAAAAAAAAAAAAAGAAAAAAGAAAAAGTCCACTGCAATAGGGAAAAGCTGTCATGGAGTTGTAGATATGTGAAAATGATATTGGCAAGGACTTAGGTGGATTGGTTAGACAGGAGAAGATGCTGGCAGAAAACAGAAAGAGTCAGTGGCAAAAAACATGAACCACTTTAAGTGGATGCAAGGAAGAGTCTCCAGGCTTGTGAGAAAGAAGGGCACCCCTTCCAGAATGCCTCTAGTTGAAACAAAATGGAGGGGATGAGGCAAGCTGTGGCACAAATACTCAGCAAAGTTGCTTATGTCAGGTGAACTGAGTAACTGGCTGCATCTCACTCATAGTCTGTGGCAAATATATTAATGTAAATACTAAGGAGAGATTTGCTTCACATTTTGCAGCTGTTTTGTTCCATACCTGTGAGCATATAAGCATTCAACTATGGTAGATCAGATAACTTGTCCTGTGTGGCACAGACTAACTGCTCAGGTACAAAACTGCCAGCTTAATCTTGGTCGTGTTTTGCCCTCTCTGCCTGCTGCCTACCCCTGGAGCTGGCTCACTGCAACAGCTTCCTCTGTCTCTGCCCTCTCTTTCTTTTTCCAGTGGTGCAGGCAGCACCAGTGGGTGGAGTTGGGGGATTGCATGGGCACATGCTTCCTTCAGTGTGTTAGCAGGAAGAGATGTGGGCAACTTGGTGGTGCTGACTACTCTAACCCACTCTTTCACCCTTCCCATTCATTTTGTGCTTTCTAAGCACCCTCTAGGAAACTGCAGCAACAGGGTTGCCAGGTAAGTGAAAAAAAAAAAAAAAGAAAAAGAAATACAGTAAGAAACAGGGATTTTTTTTTTTTTTTTCAGCAGACACATGGTGTTTTCAGGGCTGAGAAAGTCTGCAAGGGTTGGTAAGATGCAAAGATACCTGAAATCACAGAATAACAAGGATCCTCTTGCCCACTGTTGCTTGCATACAAGTCCAGCTGAGCTGGGTGGAGGGGAATGGTAGAGTAAATATTGCTTCAGCTTTAGACATATCTGTTATTGTGGCATAGTGTTAGCTCAGGCTTTCTTTTTCTTTTCCTTTTTCTTTTCCTTTTCCTTTTCCTTTTCCTTTTCCTTTTCCTTTTCCTTTTCCTTTTCCTTTTCCTTTTCCTTTTCCTTTTCCTTTTCCTTTTTCTTTTCCTTTTTCTTTTTCTTTTTCCTTTTTAGGTATGGGGACCTGAACAGAACAGAACAGAATTGTAATTCTCCCACTGCCTGAGTCACACCTCACAGTTTAACTAGACATTACAATCAGTCAGTCTTCCTTTGACCCCATTATGTTTTTTTTCAGTGCCCTAATATAGCTAATAGGACATGAATAATTATCAGGTTATTAATAATCACCAGTAGAAGTATTTTCTACACTGTCAACATAGCTTGAGAGGTCACTGGGTGTTACTGAAAAAGTATGACTGGACACTTTGAAACAAATCTTTATGTAATTTTCAGTGCAATTCCCTACAGATAGCTGAGCATGTTGTTTCAAGTCTGAAATTAATGCAGTGAGGCAATATAGAGACATATAAATTCTTCAAGGTAATTTTAATTAAAAATCTTTATTTTTTCTTTTTTTTATTGTCAATAGAAGGCAAGCATATTCCACTCTGAAGGTGATTTGCTCAGTGTAAAAAAAAATGTAATTACATGATCCCTTACCATGGGAAAAGTCAGCAGTCCCTAAGATGAACACTTACACAGACTCATCTTCTCATGACCCTCTTCCATTTCACTTAGAGTTTCCTATTGTGAAAATGGTGTTCTCAGGAAGCTGGTATCCAGAACACTGACTGCTAGATTGGACAGCACTCTCCACTGCTACTACTGTCTTCATGTCTCTTCTACTATCCATAAAATAAAATGTTATGCAGTTCCTACTACCAACACACTGAGATGGCTAAGGAAGAAGATAGGGGTGAAGAAGGTCCCACCTGATCACTTCATTTTCTTGCCTATCTGGGCTGAGAATCTAGCATCTCAGAATCATGTCTGAAAAGAACTTGAAAGAACATAGTAAAGAACGTAAATAAAGCAGTCGTATTTTACCTATTTCATCAGTGCAGGCAAGCTTGAGCAGAGTGTATTGGGTGCCTGACAGTTTCCTTCACAAGAATAACTAGGTCAAAGTGATTAGCCTGAGGAGACATGAAGCTAGTAACCTTTCTTGCTTTCATTAGTAGCAGTGTGTAAGGTCTTAGACCAGGTGTACAAACTGCTGGCATTTGACAGTCATGAATTGAAGCTCATGCCACTTCATGGTGTGAAAAAACAAAAGATCTTTTGAGTAGTGAACACTGAACCTTACCAGAGACTTCTCAGAAGTGAGACCAGGGAGTCTGACAAAAAGGAAAACACAATACTACAGTGAAGTCTGGTAAGAGGAATGTGGTTATACTCTAGCTTGAATCTTGATTAAGAAACATTCAATATTTTTTAGTAGTAAAATGATGGTATTGCAGACCAGTGTTTTTCTTATGTCTGAAGTAGTTTGCTTAGGACAAAGAGACAGTCCTGACATTGTACATTAATTTGTACTAAGGTTGCTAACAGAGGACTAACCACAGCACGTTTTAATATTCAAAGCAAACTGCAAAGCAGCTGGGTGTCTGTAATAAGGCACTGACAATCCCTATAAATATGGGTCTTACCTTTATTGCATCGAGAAAGATAAAGAGAATGGGCAGTGGAGAATTTGTGAAACAAAACACCTCCAAGAACACCTAAATATGAATTGCTAGAAACACAGGCCTTAAATAGTGTGACTTGAAGAAGCCTCCTTTAGTATGCAGTCTGAGAAAAAAGGTACTGTCAAACATTCAGTTATGATGGTCTTTGTCAAGACCTTGTCCTTGTCAAGACCTAGTAAATGTAAAAGCTACAGCCAGGAGGTAGGGGAAACGTGGAAAAGAAGCGGTAATTCTCACAACAAAGGTGATTTTTTCACATAATGGCACCTAAGTAAAATTATTTGCATGCTTGGGAACAACAAGGGAGAGATACTGCCGCAGGTGAACTAGGATACAATGTCCTGACAGCTTGTGTGAAAAGGTAGGGAGCTGCAGGTAGAAGACAGGCTAAAGGGCTGCAGATGGAAAGCCCTTAGCAATACACAGTCACTGTGCAACACTTGGTTTTACAGATGGCAAGCTATGTGTATGTATTATTTCCGAAGGGCAGACTTTCATGGCTACAGTACCACTAAAGATATTAATTAGGTGAGATATGATGGTAGAAGAACATTTTCTGTTGGATAGCTGACAATAACCAGACCCTGAAGAAACATATGCTCAACAGCAGCTGATCTTTTTTCTATTTATATCAGTCAAACTAATAATCTCACAGACTTTTTCTGCTTATATGGCTTTTTTTTTTTTTTTCAACAGCATCATTTTGTGTCGTGTGCAAGAACTCCAGCTGGGACAGAACTCAGTCACATCAATCCAAAACAGCTTCTGAGAGCACCTGCTGCGCAGGTATAAGAAATCTCTGAGTTCTTGCAGCTGGTCCATTTCCAGACCACAGGTTTCTCCCAGGGCCTGAAGATAATGATCCAGATTTGCTCAGGTTATGTCTCTGTGCCCAGGTGCACAGGCAGATGTTCCATGCTGTAGGCTGTGGTACAACCACAGCAGCACTTTGGGCCACACCACGATTCTGTTGGAGGCTAGGCCTACCAAACCGTTTTGATAGACACTCATTATCATGGGAAACCTGGTTTGAATTAACCTTGCATATGCCCCTTGCTGTTAGGTAAGCCAGGAATGTTGAAGCTGTGATACTGAGCAGGAAGGAACACAAAGGTAACATAGCCAAAGATGTAACAGAAAGCTTGGCTGCCAATCGTTGAGACAGAGACTTCTTCATTTTAGGGATTGCTTATACATTGAGTTACTTGGTAAGATAAGTGTTTGAGGAGCAGGGACGGATATTTCCTCTCATCTTCAGTGACTAGGAGTAGTTTGGAATTTGTGTCAATGTTTTAATAAAATTGCGCTTGCAAGATTGCTTGGATGGCTAACACGATCACTCTGATTATTCAAGATTTCCAACAAGAATTTCTTCTGACTGAGAAGCTATAAAAACAAAACCTAGCTTTTGGCTGCTCCAAGTATTCACACTGCAGCTTTCTGTACCAGTGACGGTGTTGCCAGAGCTAGTGGTTTTCTACTGCCTTGTCCCATCCTGCACCAGCCTGCATAAACCAGGGATAATGAGCTGATGTTAAGATGAAACTCAGGGACTAAGAGTATGCTGAAGGAGCCATATGTTTACTGTGTGTATCCTCTTCTTTAGAGGAGCTCTAGCCCAGCTGAAGTGCTTCCAGCATCAAGGGGAAGCAACTTGGCTTTCAGGAGGCTCATTGTTACTGGAGATTCTTGAGCCAGCTCATCGAGGGCTGAGGTTGAAACCTCCACCAAAACAAGGATAAAGAATCTATCCTGTCCTGCTAGGTACCTTACGTGGCTTTATGCTACTAAACATGCCCTACAAGAGAGGGAGGAGCGGCTTTGCACCCTGTTCCCTTTCTCAGCATCTTAAGAAGAGTTTGAAGTGAAGCAGTGTGCTAGAAACCCCTCCACATGCTTGCTCTCACTTGAGCTGTGCCCAGAGAAGCATGAGACCTGTGCCGGCAACCAGACAGACAGCAGATATGCTAACCATGAATGAAGAGGAATGATTTTTATTTGCTTGCCTTTGGAAAATATTTAAAGACTTATGGTAATGAATCCCCACAAAATATCTGCATATTAATTATTCATTATTTTCATTAAGGTAAGCCAAGACATACTATACTGAAGTAGATGAAAGAAATCTATAATGTTCCGTCTCTTCTCTCTGCTCCTCATACATTTTCATTTTCAGATTATTCTTAATCCCTATATATTTCAATTAGGGAAATGTATGCTTTTTTATTAGCAATAAAACTTTACATTTTTTCCCCCTTACTGATTTTTCATAGATTTATGGATCCATAATCATTCACGTCACAGCCTGAGGGACATGAGGCTGGAACAGGATAATAGCCCTTAAATCCCCTTCTCTAAGCACTCAGATCTTCCCTGTCAGCAAGATTAAAACAGTCAACAGCAGTCTTCATGTGTCTATATCCCACAGTGAGCTTTCACAGCAACTGGAGTGGTGACTGGCAGGAGGAAAAATGCAGAACTGCCGCTGTGCTTGATATCACCGAGGTGAAGAGACAAGAGAGCAGGACTGTCAGTCTTAGTACCAGAAAGGATTGGTGCTAATTTGTCAAGCAGGTGAATGATAAGAAGGGAGAAGAGCAAGGGAAAATAGTATGTTGCAGTTTAACATGAGGAGGCAGTTTCCTTTCCTGAAAGCTAAAGGAAGAGAGAGGGAAGCATCAAATGTCCTTCCACAGCTTGCCAGGAGGAAGGACAATGAAGGCATGTGTTTAGACAAGCAGAGTGGCTTTTCTGCCACTGCTCCACTGAGCTCCCAGCCCCTGCTGCTCCTTGGACCAGAGGGGAATTACAACTATTACGTGGATGATGAAGATGAGGAAGAAGAAGAGAAAGAACAAGGAAAATGGCCAACCGGAGACCCATTTGAGGGAGAAAACAAGCCCTCATCATCCATTCCTTGCTCCCCTGCCTTTTCCTCTGGAGCCCCAGCCACGGCATCCACTTCATCCGTGCTGAACATTAACGTCGGTGGCCAAAGCTACCGCCTCACCTACCAGGCAGTGGCCATCTACCCCAAGACACGCCTGGGTCGCCTGGCCACCTCCACTGACCGCCGCTGCCAGCTGGGCCTGTGCGATGACTATGCTGCCCAGGGAGACGAGTATTTCTTTGACCGTGATCCAGCCGTCTTCCAGCTGGTGTACAATTTCTATGCTTCAGGGGTGCTGCGTGTGAGGGACGAGCTTTGCCCACGCAGCTTCCTGGAGGAGTTGAGCTACTGGGGCGTGCGGCTCAAATACACACCCCGCTGCTGCCGCATCTGCTTTGAGGAGCGCCGCGATGAGCTGAGCGAGCAGCTGAAGGTCCAGCGTGAGCTGCGCTCCCAGGCAGAGGCTCAGGAGAATGAGCAGCTTTTCCACCACATGCGCTACTATGGGCCCCAGCGCTGGCGCCTCTGGAACCTCATGGAGAAGCCCTTCTCCTCTGTCACCGCCAAAGTGATGGCGGTGGCCTCCAGCTTCTTTGTGCTCATCTCCGTGGTGGCCCTGGCACTCAACACCGTGGAAGAGATGCAGCAGGTAGACCGGAAGAGTGGGGAGAGTCGTCCTGTCCTGGAGCACATCGAGACCCTGTGCATCGCTTTCTTCACCCTGGAGTACCTGCTGCGCTTAGTCTCTACCCCAGACCTGCGCCGCTTTGCCAGCAGCGCGCTCAATGCTGTGGACCTCATTGCCATCCTGCCCCTCTACCTGCAGCTGCTGCTCGAATGTTTCGCTGATGATGACCAGCCCCGAGGCCGGGGCTCCCAGCATGAGCACGATATCGAGAAGGTGGGACGGGTGGGCAAAGTGGGACAAGTGCTTCGCATCATGCGCCTCATGCGCATCTTCCGCATTCTCAAGCTGGCCCGCCACTCCACGGGGCTGCGTGCCTTCGGCTTTACCTTGCGCCAGTGCTACCAGCAGGTGGGCTGCCTTTTGCTCTTCATTGCCATGGGCATCTTCGCCTTCTCTGCCATGGTCTACACAGTGGAGCATGACGTCTCTAGTACCAACTTCACCAGCATCCCCCATGCTTGGTGGTGGGCTGCCGTAAGTAAACACAACTCAACTTGCTCGGTATCTAGAGACCGTCCCCTCCCTCACCACCCTTCCTTTACCCTCTTCTCCCCTCCCTTTCTAGAGTAGCTGACGGTCTTGAAAACAGAAGGCCTAGATCAGTGAACATCTGCTCTGAATTCAGAGCTTACAGGACATATGCACTCACTCACGCACACACATGCATGCACTCATTCACCTCAGCTGTAAGCTTTAATCAAGGCTTAATCAGGCAGACGGTGTTGAAATTCCCATCTGACCAAATGCAGGCAGTACTTGCCCTTTAAAGAATAAGTGGGAAAAGAGACAGAAAATAAAAGCTTTTCTCCATTAAATCCCATTGTCAGTGTTGCCAAAATAAGCAAAGAAAAAAAGAGTTTATCGGGCTATCTGCTGGCAGCTGCACGTGGGATTTTCATTCTTGATCTTTTTGAAAATCTACTGTGACCCATCATACAACTGCAAGATGATAAAACATGGTTTATGTACTATTCACTGTACTCTGGCAGGCAAACTTGCAAAGTCCAAACTGTCCTAGAGCTCTGGCTATTAAATTTCATTCGGACCAATGGTTGTTTTACACAAGAGATTGCATTCTGCTCCTTAGGTGGCACTTCCAGGATACGTCTGCACATATATACACACAAAACATTGGTGGTTATTTATATTGTGCCAGAGTTGATGAATGAATGCAAAAACAAGTGGCATGGCTCAGGAGGCTGATAATGGGATAGGCTGCCTTCTACATATAGGTCACTGGTTCGAACCCCACATCAGTCTGTAGTGAGGGAGGTTAATGTGTGGTTAACGTCACCTTGAGTATTTTTGCAGCCTTTGCGAGAAAGAGTGTGATTCTTCCCAAGAAACTGGAGTGTGGGTAACTGGCTGAGGTTCTGCTGACAAGACTTGGAAAGGAAGGCAGAATGACCTCATTTCTAGAGACTGCCACGGAGGTCTCTGCTCTAAGGCATTTGGGCACATCTCCTTGAGGTCTGAACTATCACTGAGCTGTACTACACTCCGTTATGTGGAGGGATGTTTCTCAGGCAATGTATTCCATGTTGTTTGGATCACCTCTTGGAGGGGCATGAAGATTTATCTGGGAACACAGAACCATGAGAGTTTAAAGTACTCCACCTTACTTAAAAGCCTCCTGGCTCTGACAGCATACTGGCAGAATGGTTCAGCATCCCAAACTCATGCTTCACCTTAGAAGCATTTACAATAAAAGATGGCCATGCAGTTATTTCCAGTACACTAATCAATTTTTCTCAGACTATTGGCTGACCAAAATGATAGTTATATCTTTCAAGGTGAGTTACAAATACAAAAGAAACACCTCTGGATTGATAAGGACTAGCAGACAATGGAGGCTGGGTAAGGGAAGCACAGGCTGTAAGTAGATGCTTAGCAGATAATCTTCGTGCTCAAGTATGTCAGTTTCCCAATTATCATCTATACAATAACATGATTTTTTTTTTGGGGGGGGGGGGGGAGGGTGGGGATTGACTATGGGGAGAGGGGAAGCTGATCCCTCCCTGTACTGCAGCCAGCAGCTTCAGAGTGCTGGAAAACAGGAGTTCTTTGTGCTGCAGCAGCTGTGCATCTTTACAGCAGCCTGAGTCGAGTCAAAGGGCAGCTAGGTGCTACCCGTTGCGCTAAGGCTTGTTCTAGTCCACCGTCACTTGCAGGGTACGTATATTTCCTGTCAGAGCAAGCAATGCTGGCCTCCATAACCCATTCTTATGGCAGAGCTTCAGGAGCACCTCTGCCCCCTGGACCTGGCTATGTTGCTGGCTACATCCCCATCACTTCCCAGGCAAGGAAACCAAGGCAAATGGATTGGAAAAGAATCAGAACTCATGCTGGACAATCAGCATAGCATGGGGACCATGCTATGAGGAAGGCAACTCCAAACTGTCCAATAATGATACTTCTGGCCAGCAGCTGGGAAGATCCTGGCCAAACTCACTGTTTCAGCAGTGACTGATTTAATGTGGCGGTTTCCCACATGTTTGTTGTGATTTATGAACATGTGAGATATATGAAAAAATCTTAAGACATCACTCCTGCAAGCTGGTAACACCATGATTATTTAGATATTCCTCGGAATCCCATATAACCATGACTATGTGAGAAAGGTGTTTTTAGCTGAGCAAGTGTATCCTAAAGATGTGCTAGAGCATGCACATTGTGATTCTAAGGCACACAGAAATTTTTAAAGCCTATCCATTCTTTAAAAGTAAAAATTAAGAGATAAAGATCACTCAAATTTCATCAAAATCCAGCAGTGTCCACAGTCTGACCCACCCAAGAGAACAGCTCCCCCTCCCAAACTGTCACAGTGATGTCGAAGACTGTGCCAGTGGAACAGAACCTTATCACAGGATAATGGCTTTGTCCTGCCTGGTAGAGATAAACATCTTGCCCTCATCTCAGTATTTATTTTTGGAGATATTTATCCTGTATTATCATTCAAATCCAGTGACTTAATTTCCATTAAACCAAGTGACTAATCCTTTTTATTCCGCAGGAAGCACCAGGTGCATCCTACAAATATGCTTATCCAGTGCTGTCTCATGTAGCCTAATACTTTCTTTATTTGAAATAACATTTTATTTAGCATGTTAGAGGATGGCAGGCTGCACACCGTGACCTTCCAGAGACTTATTTCAGTGCGAAAGCCACAAGAGAATTACAGTAAAACTCCTGCCTGTACTGTATTCTGTGGAAGTTTTATATTACCAGATACAAACAGTCTCCTTGGATACTGTAAAATAAATAAATAAATAAATAAATAAAATTCATTGGCTGCAAAAGATCCCTTGCACATGAATATTACAAGGAAGCGCCAGATTGCAGAACCCTGCAAGTTTTACGTGCCAGAGAAACATAAATTGTGTTTACTAAATGTAAACGTTATAAACAATCAAGATGCATAGAGTGGAAGAATATAACAGGAGTTATTTCATGCTAACTGTTTGGGAGTACATCATTTATATGTAACAACCATGTAAGCAAACAGCCAGGAATTTTTAAAACTTTATTTTACAAAGAAAGTTTTGCATTGCTTGGTACTATATATGGGCCATATAAAACAAAGCTTATTCATACCTGTGTAGTCTAAAAATAGAAAAACGTGAAGGCTCAGGAAAAAGGTCCTTTATGAACTATGTAGACAATGAGATGGCAAAATTCACAGGTTCATGTAAACTGGGAATATAAAATACCATCACTCACAAGCACACAGAAAATATTTTCAGCAACCCCCAAGCACTTCTTCAAATACAAATTCATAAAAATTCAGCAAAAGTTTGAGATTTCTAGATGACTGAGAAAGATACATGTTTTTTCATTAGGTCCTTGTATACACAATACTTGTGTAAACATTGAAGGCAATTTTATAAAGAAACTTCAGACTGCTGGGTCATATCTTCCAACAGTGCAAACATTATCAAAATATATTTCACAATTAGCTGAAGTTTTTCGTGTGTTTTTCATTCATACTTCACATATATATAAATATAACAAGCAAAGGTAATACTCAAAATAGAACACACACAGTAAGTCCCAAAATACCAGCTTTTATAAGCACACTGGATTTAGACACAGAGGGGTGCCTGTTCCCAGTGACACAATGAGGTAGCAGGATTACAGTTGTCACTGGATTTGTGCTGCCTTCTCTATCCACAGCTGAGCAAATCCACCCTCCAGACACGGTGGTGGGGAAACCATTTGGAAATTCACTCTGCAAGACAAAGCCTTTAAAAATCTTCCTGACTGGTGCCTCACTGCACTGTTGTCTTTCTTTATTGCAGGAGAGGGGGTTATTTATTTATTTATTTATTTATTTTAACTGGGGACTTTTACATAAAATTAACAGTACCCAAAAAAGCCAGTGCAGTCGTGTGATGCAAAGTACAAGAATGTTAGCTCCAGAATCACCTCTGATCCCTGAGCAAATCTAGAAAGATTACAAGGAGATAACCTTTTGTATGCCTCTTCCCAGCTAATAAGCTGACTGCTGATTTGCCTGTAGGTCAGCATCTCTACAGTGGGATATGGAGACATGTGTCCAGAAACTCACCTCGGCCGCCTGTTCGCGTTCCTCTGCATCGCGTTCGGTATAATCCTGAATGGCATGCCCATCTCCATACTTTACAACAAATTCTCAGACTATTACAGCAAGCTGAAGGCCTACGAGTACACTGCTCTCAAGAAAGAAAGGGGGAAGGTGGACTTCACACGGAGAGCCATGAAGAAAATATCTGAATGCTGCGGAGAAAGTGCTGCCCGCCCTTTGCCACAACACTGATATGAGTAATGCCTTGGATATTGGGTTGGAACAGGGAAGCTGAAGAAAAAGAGGGAAAATTGATCAGTCAAGCTAACTGGAGATAAACTGAAAAGGATAACAGTAACAAAAATTAGATGGTGAAATCTGTTTTGAAGTGAATTACTTTTAAAAGAAAAGGCTCAGATTATAACAAAAGATTTATTTTTTCTTGGTTTTGTTAGTCTGAGAGCAGCACTCAAGTGCTCATGAGCTATCTGGAAGGAGATTATTCAGACAAATCACCCAGAAATTCTGAATTAGATCCACACAAAGATGTGGCCCCTTAAAACCGATCAGACCAATGTCAAAGACCAATGACCAAACCAAAGGGAAACAAATTGCTGCCATTAAGGGTCAGACCCTTTGCTGCTGCCAGGGCAGTCTTAAACAAATAGTATACTGACTGCATTGCTGAAATTGGTTTTGCATCATCTTTCAAAACTGGGAAAACAGCCTAGAATTCCTTCCTGAATATTAGCAGCATCTACACTCCATGAGCTTTCAGCTTCCACTTGCACTGGTAGTTATGCTTCAGTGTCCCAATTGTACTTTTCGTCCCAGCAAGTGACTTCCATTTTCACACCTAGGCAAGCAACATGATGGTTTTACTATTTTCCCCACCTCCACCTCCATAATCATCTTCCGTTATGCCAAGATCTAGTGGAAAATCTGGATTTTGAGTTGATAAATGTCTTCAGCCTTGAAAACATTTCTAAACAAATACTTTCTCTAGGGTTAAGTGATAATCTACATTTATTCTACTACATTTAATATATCTACTTATTGAAATGTTAGAAAAATAACAGGCCTGTCACAGGATGTAAACGTTAGAGAAATGTTCTGAAAAAATACTCAAACACGTAGTAGGTAATATAACACTTTTCATGAAAAGGATCTTATTAGCTCTTGTCTGAAGCCAATTTAAAATATAATTTAAAGTCAAGATACTTTGGTACATACAGACACATTTCTGACACCTTAACCCACCTCCAGTAGTACCTTATTTCCTGAAATTACTTAGCCTTCTTTCACAGCTTGGCTTTTGCATGTTACCCCAAGAACTATGCAATAAATAGTAATAAGAAAAAAAAGAAAAAAAAAAAAAGGAAAAAAAAAAAAAAAGATGGGACCAGCATTTCTTCTATTAGTTCACAGTATATCAGGAATATTCTTTTTACATAACAGCAGTCCTAGGATTTTAAAAATAGGAATCTGAGCAACAGATCTGAAAGAACAGTTATTTAATTGATAGATCCAAATAGTATAAACCACAGGGTAACAAAAAGAAGCAATGACAGCAGTCACATGATTGTTATTCATTAGCACTCTTTCTGTGAAACAGCCTGACAGCAGAGATGCGCTTTAAAATTCCTGAACTTCCACGTTGTGTCTGTAGTGTGCTGCTGAATGTAAATCATCATAGTCAAGTCTCAGAGTCAGGCTGAAGACAATGGTGTGAAGCTCACTCCTGGGACAGCTGAGGGTGAAAAAGTTCATTGATTTTGCTACATCCATACAAATTGTGTCAAGCATGGGGACATTTTTCATTTGCATAGTGAGAAGGTAATCAGTAACCAAGTTGCTCTTCTCATTTTCTATCTCCAGACAAACTTATCATAAGCCCAGCTGTCATTTTGTTCTTTAGGAATGACAGTCAGCACATTGTGTGCTGATCAGCTCTGTTAAAAGCTAAACAGTGTCTTTAAGGCACAGCTGACCCCTGAGAGTTGACTGTGATAGATGTGTGCTGTCCTGGACTGCACACAATGCAGCAGGCACAATCCCAGCACTCACTGACAAGAATAGCTGCTTTAGTTTGGCTCTGGGGTGGTATGAATTTGTATGGCCCTTCTGCACCAGTGGCTTCCTGAAGTCACAGGAAGCCGCTCTTTTAGACCCCTGTTGCAGTTGAATGGGGCAACAGGTTAAAAGCACGCAGGAACACAACCGTGCTTCATTTTCAATGTGCAGCTTGAGACAATAGGTTACATCTATTGGATGAGATTCATTAAAGGACTTAAACTTTGATGACCACCCAGCATTCCAAGACAAGGAACCCCTTAATTTAATTTCTCAGTCTGAAGGAGCTGGCAGGACTTAAGAGGTAGTTCCCACACCTTGCAGCCACATGAAGGCAGGACTCACAATACTCTATAATGGTTAGAGGCCAAAAACCTTTCAGACATGGAGGAGACCCATTTATATTCCTTCAGGAGAAGACAATAGTGCTAAATCCCACCTGAGTACTCTGAACCAAGGCATCACACACTAGGCAGCTCAGCTTGCCTAGAACCTGCTGCATGCTCTTCTTCTTCAATATGCTTTCCTCACTCCTCCCTCCAACACCCAACCCCACTGTTTTGCTGATGGCAGCTTTGGTGCCTTTGTGATTCCTTTATGATTCCTTTATGAGTTGGTTTAACATACAAATGGGACAATCTGGGGGAGCAGGATTAGATTCTTCATTGGTCTGTGCCCTAACTTGATTTGGAGAGCTCTGACTAATGCTGATGCAAGATACATGGTAGAAGTGTGCAGTTCGGAGGACAGATCTCCGGCAGCTGCCACATGAAATGTGAAGCAAAAAAAATGACTCAAAGTTGTTGTTTTTCTCTTTCGTAATAATCAGATCATTTGCCTTGCCTCTTGCAGCAGGAGAACAGGCTCTTAGTGAAGTAAGGCATTTTCCAGCAAACTGTAAATTAGAGTTCTGTGTTTTCTTTAATTAAAAATTCATAGTTTGCTTTACTGTATTACCCCACACAGCTTTCTGCCTTGTAGCTTACCTCATTTTATTGCAGGGGTGTTGAGTTTAAGTCTGTGAATTCGGTAGTATAGATTATGCCTAATACTGAGGCACCACAATGCCAATCAGATGTTGCCCTGAATGCCCAAGCTCTATCACTACTAGCATTTTCTGTAAGTGGTTTCTAGCAAGGTCCTCCCACCTGCCCAACTCCTGAGACACCCTATCTGATGCTCCTACTATACAAACTGGCTAGAGGAGCTCCACCAGCTCAGAGGAAGGAAGGAGTTCATAGTCCCACAGAGCAAACTCCTCACTACCTGCAGTGGGCTGTGCATATCTTTATCAGCTGGTTTTGAAATGTAATGCTGCATTTTTGCCATTTTGTTGTGTTGACACAATGATTCCTTTTGAGAAGGACGCAGTTAATTTACTGTCACAGCCACTACAACTTTCAGTGGCATCGCAAGTACCCCTAGATTACTGTGAAATGAAACAGCCAAGTGCTACATGATGGCATTCAAAAGTAATGCAGGACGGCCTTGATTATCTTGATTACTTGAATGCCATAGGGCTTTGACAATCAAAAGATTTCAAAATAACCACTTCAAGGGAAAATATGCTTAGATTCAACAAAGATGGGTAATACCATCAAAGCTAAAGTAGATAGGGCTTATTTTATGAGATGTTAATTTAGTATTACTAAGATTTTGGTGGAACAGAGTGGGGGATTCTCAAAACACTGAGAAATTAGAAAACTCAAGGAATGTGACCATGCTCAAATCTTCCATTTTAACTAATTGCAGATATTAATGAGCCCCAGAGGGAGAAGGAAAATATGTTCTATTATGCTTTGCTACAGACATAGCAAACATGTTGTCCTTGGTAGACAAAGAAACAATTTGTTTATCTGGATGTCCTGGCTTCATTTTTAGACAACTAAGTATTCCTTCTTCTATTTCTTATAGGCCTGTGAATTACTGAAATTAAAAATAATAATATTAATAATTAAAAAAAAAAAAAAGATAGTAGCGTGCAGGGATGGTGGAGTCTGGAGTCTGTCCCTACATGAGACGGTGAAAAGAATTCCAATCAGAATAGCTTTTGCACAAATCCTTGTCTTAGAAGAACATCACTTTCTCAGTGCAATTCAGCAGCTGTTTGCTTTTCTCATTCAGAAAGATAGCACTTAAAGGGGTAGCTAGAGTACAGCCATAGATTAATATGCATCTGGTGCTATTCCCAGGCTTCTAAGGCAAACACTAATATTCAGTCTTTAAGTATGTATAATTTTAAGATTATAAACTAGGTAAACTTTAAAATTTTTGGAGAAAAATAATGACTATCAATAAACCTAGGAGGGAAAAAAATGTCTACTTGCTTTAAAAGTAGCTTTAACTGTTTAGATTGTTCTGTTTTTGTTATGTAAAAATATTTGATTCGTGCTTATCTGCTATTTACAAAACCTTTATTAACTTCTTTATTCAGAAGTAGAAAAAATACATGGCATTTGACTGTAATCTAGTTCTTTATCTTGCATTGAAAAAGAGAAAGGTCAGAGGCACTAGCTTTTTATGTACTTAGGTAATTATTGGAAATATGCTGAGAAAAATTAAAGCATTCCCCAGGTAGTTCCTGAGACAGAGATTATCAGAGTTCTCAAAATAAAATTGCTCAGAACTTACTTCTACTCTGTGAAATGTCTCTATGTGGTCATTCTGACTTCTGAACCAGATTTGCTCCATTTAGAAGCAAAAGCATTTCCCCTTCTAACAATAACCAGATGAACTAGTATCGAACCTGAAAGTGAGTCTTTCGCTACCACTAATAACAGTTATTCAGGCCAACAAATACCCACACAACCCTCTTTTCTTCAGCTGTTCTGGCAGAAGAAACTGCTTGAAACACTTCCCCTAGCACCTGGGAAAAGGAACAGAGACCCTGGTCTGGCTGCCGAGACAGCGTGGCTACACATGGTTAAATTCAACCAGCACTGTCACAGAGAATAACTGTGCAGAGGAGTTTCTCCATCCCCACGCCAGAACAGCCTTGCTCAGTAGGAAAGTTAGACTTTTCATTTTTTTCTCACCAAAGGCTGCATATTAAGGCAAAGGCACAGACTGAAGACAAATGCAACAGGCCACCCACAAAAGGAAGGTCAGGCTTTGAAGTGAACTCTTCGTGATCAAACCCTGGCATAAGCTGGAACCAGACTGACATCAAAGGGACTCCACGCTCCTCAGGCAGTTCAAGCCAACTCTTGAGGGTCAGATTGGCCTGACATCCAAACTCCTTAACATCCAAGTATTTTATTATCATAAACAATCAGTACAAAAATAAAAATAGAAACTTGGAGTTCAGAAAAATGCCCTCATCACTCACAAGTTGCACGATGGTTCTGCTCTGATGGGGGCCAGAAAGGGAGAGGCAGAGGGGTTCTCGCAGGGGAAGTGCAGTCCCTTGCATGGAAAATTGTTCACTACTGCCATCAGGAGGCTAGAGGACGGCAGAATCCCCACTTTCCTTCAAAACACCTCACGCATACACCACTTGCTATGTTAGGTTGCTCTGCTGTGTCTTCAGGCACAGAGAGCACTAAAATCCTGGACTTCCCTGGAGTTCAGTCAGAAAGTGCCTACAAGAAAGAAGGAGTAACTATAAAACCTGTAATATCACCACTAGGGACTAAATGAATCATCAAAATAATGCCACATCAATTGGAGATGAATTTCCCTCTCTCTTTCATTTCTAAAAGACAGCTCCAAAACCAGAAATGCTCCCCGAAGGTCACTGCACAAAAAGGGAACCGATTCTAGGCAGATCTGAGTGGTGTTGGGCCATGGTTAATGCTCAACATGTGTATTTCTAAAACAGTTTAAACAAACAAAAACATCATCACTTACACTAAAAAAAAAAAAAAAAAAAAAAAAAACAAAAAAAAAAAAAACAAAAAAAAAAAACAGGGAATATGAAATTTCAAGACAAAATTAACCTCAATTGCAGGCTGTATCAATCATTTTAGATCCACAGTGAAGCTTTTACTGGCAGTATAAGCAATCAGAGTACTGGTCTCAAGCAGTTGTTGTTCTACCTTTTGGCATGTCAGGAAGAAAAGAGACTAGTGCCATTTTATACACAGATTTCGAGTACAGATTGATCATGAAGATGGGCCAGCCAGGAGATTAATTTGATCCCCTGTGAAGGGAAGGTTTGGTCCTGACTATTGCCAGGCTTCCTTTCTGTGCAACTTTGCCATTTAACTCCTGCTTTAGTGTTCAAGTGGGCTCCATTTGTTCAGCAAATTTTATCAGCTCACTAATAGAAATTAATTCAACAAAACACTCCACACAAGTCTCTCATAAGTTGTAAACTGATTAATTTTAAGTGCCAGAGCTGCTGTAAAGAGAGGGTGCATTAGACACTTTGCATTTCTGTCTGAAAAGGAATGTTGATGTATAAATATGGTTTCTGGTTCTGGTAAACCATACAGAATCTGGAGTGAAAGAGTGCTCAGTCCTGCATGACCACAACAATTTCCTTTGCAAAGACATAATGCTTCAGGCTTCATTCATAACATTTAGTCTCTACTCACAGCTTCTTCTTCAGAGTAAGAGCACTCGGTTACATAAAAGAATACTGACCTTAATAAAACAGTCTGAAAATCGGCTTGGTTTAAGGAAACCAACCATTTCAATTAAAACAAAAACAAACAAACAACAAAAACAAACAGCCTGGGGAAGGGAAGGGAAGGGAAGGGAAGGGAAGGGAAGGGAAGGGAAGGGAAGGGAAGGGAAGGGAAGGGAAGGGAAGGGAAGGGAAGGGAAGGGAAGGGAAGGGAAGGGAAGGGAAGGGAAGGGAAGGGAAGGGAAGGGAAGGGAAGGGAAGGGAAGGGAAGGGAAGGGAAGGGAAGGGAAGGGAAGGGAAGGGAAGGGAAGGGAAGGGAAGGGAAGGGAAGGGAAGGGAAGGGAATGTTTGCTAGGTATTGTGACCCAGTGCTTGCTTGTCAGAAAGCAACAGCTTATGCATTGCAGCAAGTGATATCTGAGCAGCAACTCACTGCTTGGAGTAGAAAATGTATGTACAGCTTTTCTAACTTAGTACACCTTATGAAGACTAAAGGACAAAGTAGGACCACAGGCAGACACTCAAAGTGCATCTGAAGCAGAAGGAAACAAATTATTTGAGATGTCCTCTTATGACATATAGTGCATTTGCTCTGTGAACAAATGTTCCTCTTTAGTGCTTGTTCCAATGTGCACTTGGTCAGTAACACTGAAGCAGAAAAGTAGACTGATGCACAGAATATGAAGCTGAATCACCATCTGTGAAAGCAAAGGTCCTCGAACTAGGGCAGGATGCTGCATAAAATAAGAAATACAACATTACATTGACGTCCATCATTGATGAGGATGTGTTGAAGGGAAATCAATGGACCTGAAAGGATGCTGGTGAGCAGCATGGGTTCTTGGGCAGGTTCACTGAGCTCCCTGGTGTCCAGGCTATGGCTAATAAAATATTACGCAATTTAATGTTAAAATTCCCAGTTCAACTGCTTTTCGTTATTTTGAAGAGAAATCATTTAGACATTTCTTAAAGATATCTTTAAGATAATACTACCTGTTATTTTCACTGTCCACTGTTGAAAGACTTGGAATTCAAACCTGGCTCTAAATACTTTACCTCTTCAGGTAAACAGAGGCAAAAACAACAAACAAGCAAAAAAATCAACAACCACCAACAAAAACAGAGAAAAAACACATACGTGGAAAAAACAGTGGCATCAGTTTGTATAACAGCCTTTGGAAGCATTTCAACCATAAAAAGGATGGTTTTGACTGCCATAAAAAATGGTACTATCACCACACCATGAAGATACCTTAATAACAGGTTTTGTGGCACCCAGTCCTCTTCATCTAACCACTCTTCAGGATCAGAAGCTTAAGCAATACAACATATTGAATGAATTATCATATTGCTTTATTATCTTTTTCCACAAAAAAAAAAAAAAAAAGTTTTATCAATCATGCTTATAAATCATTACACCTTTAAAATGAAAATCCCCCCCCCCCCCTTTTTTTTTCCTCACACAAGTGCGTCATCTTCTTCCTATCTGTTTATCTGTTTCAAACACAGAAAACCCTCCAAATGACTTCTTGTTTCAATGCTTCTAGCACTTGTTCACATATGTCTGTATACCCAGAGCTCTTGTTGATTCCCTCCCTTTCATTTTCATGACTATTCCCTCTTTCTGCTAAAAGTTGCAATCCTCAGTAGTTAGTGCAGACTGAAAGTGATGACAGGCAGAAGCTGATGTGGGGAAGACAGTAAAAATCAGAGAATACATAAGATTTTATATTTTGTAAAGTATATTTTTTAAGATGCATTTTGATCAAAAGAGCATAATATCTAACAATTAAAACCACCTTCAATGACAGCAGATGACAAGATGACCAAACCCACTTCAACTAGTACAGCCCCTCTCTGCAGGGCTGCTCTCCAGTGTCTCATTGCCCTGTCTGTACATTCAGGCAGGGTTGCCCCATCCCACGTGCAGGACCCAGTACTTGAATTTCAGACAAAACAAAAAGGGAACACTGATAAAATCCTTTTGCTTCTATGTCCTTCAAACAATCTATCCATCAGCCTTCATACAGCAGTCATAGACTCACCCACAGAAGACCAGCAAACAATGGCACTAAATCCAGCCAAATTCTCCACAGCGGGGAAGTGAGTCCATTCTGTGAGTACTCATCCCTATGAGTAAGAAGGCAAACGAACAGGGCTGGAGACCTTCATGGATGAGAAGGGAGCTCAGACAGAAAAAGGAAGTTCACAGCATGTGGAAAAAGAGACGGGTCACTTGGGGAGAACACAGGGCACAGGGACACTGTCAGAGTGTGCAGGACTGCTACAAGGAAGGCCAAGGCCCACCTGGGATTAAATCTGTCAAGAAAGGTCAAGGACAACAAGAAGGGCTTCTTCAAATATATCAGCAGAAAAAGGAAGACTGGGGAAAATGTCAGCCTGCTGCTGAATGGGACGGGTTCCCTGTTGACAAAGCATACAGAGAAGGCAGAGTTGCTGAATGCCTCCTTTGTTTGTCTTCACCACTGAGACCAGCCCTCAGGAATCTCAGACCCTAGAGAAAAGGGAGGAAGTCTGGAGAAAGGAGGTCTTTCCCTTGGTCAAAGAGGATCAGGTCAGAGATCTCTTAGGCAAACCTGACATCCACAAATCCATGGGCACAGATGGGATACATGCTGGAGTGCTGAGGGAGCTGGCCAATCTTATTGCTAGCCCACTCTCCATAATCTTTGAAGGGTCATGGAGAACAGGAGAGGAGGCTGAGGACTGAAGAAAAGCCAGTGTCACTCCAGTTTTCAAAAAGGGTAAGAAGGAGGACCCAGGCAACTACAGGCCAATCGGCTTCACCTCCATCCCTGGAAAGGTGATGGAATCACACAACCTGGAGGTCATCTCCAAGCACATGGAGGAGAAGAAGGTGATCAGTAGTCAGAATGGGTTCACCAAAGGGAAATCATGCTTGACCACCCAATAGCCTTCTATGATGGAATGACTAGCTGGGAGGGTGACAGGAGAGCAGTGGCTGTTGTCTGCCTTGATTTCAGTGAGGCTTTTTGACACTGTCTCACATAACATCCTCACAGACAAGCTCAGGAAGTGTGGGATGGAAGAGTGGACAGCGAGGTGGATTGAAGACTGGCTGGATGGCAGAGCTCAGAGGGTTGTGATAAGCAGTGCTGAGTCTGGTTGGAGTACTGTAGCTTGTGGTGTCCTGCACGGGTCAGTACTGGGTCCAGTCCTGTTCAATTTACTCATCAGTGACCTGAATGATGGAATAGAGTGCACCCTCAGCAAGCTTGTGGATAACACAAAACTGTGAGGAGTGGCTGATAAACCAGAGGGCTGTGCTGCCATTCAGAGGGACTTGGATATGCTGGAGGGATGGGCTGACAGGAACCACATGAAGTTCAACAAGGGCAAGTGCAGGGTCCTGTACCTAGGGAGGAATAACCGCAAGCACCAGTACAGGCTGGGAGCTGACCTGCTGGAGAGCAGATCTGCGGAGAGGAACCTGGGCGTCCTGGTGAACAACAAGTTAACCATGAGCCAGCAATGTGCCCTGGAGGCCAAGAATGCCAACAGTATTCTGGGGTGCATTAGGAAGAGTGTTGCCAGCTGGTCAGGGAAGGTGATCCTGCTCCTCTACTCAGCCCTGGTGAGGCCACACCTGGAGTATTGTGTCCAGTTCTGGGCTCCCCAGTGCA